TTTGGGAATCGCACCCACGACCTTCGTGTTATTAGAAGAGCGCTCAACCAACTGAGCTAATGGTCCTCGATGTAGGTGGCATGAATCCGTGAAACTTTTACAGGTGAAATACACGTATAAAAGAGACATCATCTTTTCACTATTTTATTTGAATCTATATTGAGCGGCGTACTGTCGATAGCCACTTCAAATAGTTTGCATAATTAGAGCAATATTCAAAATTATAAATGAACCTGGCCCATGGGGATCGACCAGACCTTTGTTATTAGCACGACGCTTAACCAACTGATAATGGGCCTCGATGTGGCCGCTTCAAATTCAGTAACATATTGCGTTAATATACGCATTACAAGCAGAGATATTCTTTTTTTTCTTATTTGTATGAACTCTATTGAGCAGAACGAAACTTTCTCGAAGCCATTTAAAATAGTTTGGATAATTAGATGTCATTATCCAAAAATTATTAAGACCTTGGCATGGGGATCGAACCCAGACCTTCGCGTTATTAGCAGACGACGCTCTATCAACTGAGCTAATGTATGGATGTAGAGCTTCAAATTCTTAACATATTGTTAATATACGATTACAAGCAGAGATATTCTTTTTTTCATTTTGCATGAAACTCTATTGAGCAGAACGAAACTTTCTTGAAACTTTAAAATAGTCTAATTAGATGTCATTATCCAAAAATTATATGAATTGGCCCATGGGGATCGAACCCACGACCTTCGCGTTATTAGCACGACGCTCTAACCAACTGAGCTAATGCCTGATATGTGCTCAAATCCTGTACAACATATTGCGGTATTATACAAATTAGAATCTTTTTTCTCTTTTCATGAACTCTCATTGAGCGCTATGAAATAGTCAAGTCACTTAAAATAGTATGGCCTAATTAGACGTCATAACCAAAATCATAAATATCTTGCCCATGGGGAATGCACCCACGACCTTCGTGTTATAGCAAGACGCTCAACCAACTGAGCTAATGGGATACATGGCCTTCAAATTCCGTGCAAATTGCGTAATATACACATTACAATCAGAGATATTTTTTCATTTTGCATGAATCTCTATTGAGCGTTAGAAACAGTCGAAGTCACTTCAAATAGTTTATAATTAGATGCCATTATTCCAAATTATAAATGAACTCCCATGGGGATCGACCTCACGACCTTCGCGTTATAGCACGACGCTCTAACCAACTGAGCTAATGGGTCCTGATCGCTTCAAATTCAGTACAACATATTGCGTTAATATACGCATTACAAGCAGAGATATTCTTTTTTTTTCTATTTGCATGCAACTCTATTGAGCGAACGAAACTTTCCTTGAAGACTTTAAAATAGTGGTCAATTAGATGTCATTATCCAAAAATTATTTATGACCTTGGCCCATGGGGATCGAACCAGACCTTCGCGTTATTACACGACGCTCTAAAACTGAGCTAATGTATGGATGAGGCCGCTTCAAATTCCGTACAACATATTGGTATTATACAAATTATAATTAGATCTTTTTTTCCTGTTTTGACATTGAGCGTTGTGAAATAGTCAATGAAGTCACTTTAAAATAGTATACTAATTAGAGTCATTAACCCAAAATCATAAAATACCTTGGCCCATGGGGAATCGACCCACGACCTTCTGGTTAAAGACTCTAACCAACTGAGCTAATGGTCCTCGATGTAGCGGTATTAAATCCGTGAAACTTTACGGGTGAAATACAAGTATAAAGAGAATATTCTTTTTCTATTTTATTTGAATCTTATTGAGCGGCGTGAAACTGTCGATGAAGCCACTTCTCAAATAGTTTGGCATAATTAGATGCATTATTCCAAAATTATAAATGAACCTGCCCATGGGGATCGACCACGACCTTCGCAGTTAGCACGACGCTCTAACCAACTGAGCTAATGGGCCTGATGTGGCCGCTTCAAATTCGTACAACATATTGCGTTAATATACGATACAAGCAGAGATATTCTTTTTCTATTTTGCATGAACTCATTGAGAGAAGAAACTTTCCTTGGACACTTAAAATAGTTTGGCATAATTAGATGTCATTATCAAAATTATTCATGACCTTGGCCCATGGGGATCGAACCACGACCTTCGCGTTATTAAACGACGCTCTACAACTGAGCTAATGGGCCTCGATGTGCCGCTTCAAATTCCGTACAAAATATTGCGTTAATATACGCATTACAAGCAGAGATATTCTTTTTGCATGAAACTCTTATTGAGAACGAAACTTTCTTGAAGCCACTTAAAATAGTTTGCATAATTAGATGTCAATCCAAAAATTATTATGACCAGCCCATGGGGATCGAACCACGACTTCGGTTATTATCACGACGCTCTAACAACTGAGTAATGTATGATGAGTGCTTCAAATTCGTACAACATATTGCGTTAATATAAGCATTACAACAGAGATATTCTTTTTTCTCCATTTTGATGAATCTCATTGATGCGAGAAAATAGCACTTTAAATAGTTTGGCACTAATTAAGTCATTAACCCAAAATCTAAATTATCTTGGCCCATGGGGATCACCCACGACCTTCGGTTATTAGGCTACTGGTTGAGACATGTAGTAACTGAACGAAGCTACAAATTTCCCCCCATGGGCCAAGGTAATTTATGATTTTGGGTTAATGTCGTCTAATTATGCTGAAATATTTTAAAGTGAATTCATTGCCTGTTTCAGAACGCTCAATAGAGATTCATGCAAAATAGGAGAAAAAAAGATCCCTAATTGTAATGTGTATAATACCGCAATATGTTGTACGGAATTTGAAGCGGCCAAATCGAGGCCCATTAGCTCAGTTGGTTAGAGCGTCGTGCTAATAACGCGAAGGTCGTGGGTTCGATCCCCCCATGGGCCAAGGTCATATATAATTTTTGGATAATGACATCTAATTAAGCCAAACTATTTTAAAGTGGCTTCAAGTAAAGTTTCGCTCTGCTCAATAGAGTTTCATGCAAAATAGAAAAAAAAGAATATCTCTGCTTGTAATGCGTAAATTAACGCAATATGTTGTACGGAATTTGAAGCGATCTCATCGAGGCCCATTAGCTCAGTTGGTTAGAGCGTCGTGCTAATAACGCGAAGGTCGTGGGTTCGATCCCCCCATGGGCCAGGTTCGTTTCTAATTTTGGGAGAATGACATATAATTATGCCAAACTATTTGGAAGTGGCTTCATAGAATGTTTCACGTCGCTCAATAGAGATTCATATAAAATGGTAAAAAGATTTCTCTTTGTACGTGTATTTCACTGCAAAACGTTTCCCGGAATATGAAGAGACCCCATCGAGGCCCATTAGCTCTGTTGGTTAGACCGACGTGCCAATAACGCGAAGGTCGTGGGTTAAATCCTCCCAGGGGCCAAGGTAATTTATGATTTTGGGTTAATGACGTCTAATTAGGCCGAAATTTTTTAAAGTGACTTCATCGACTGTTTCATAACGCTCAATAGAGATTCATGCAAAATGAAAAAAAAATATCTCTGATTGTAATGTGTATATTACCGCGATACGTTGCACGGAATTTGAAGCGGCCGCATTGAATCCCATTAGCTCAGTTGGTTAGAGCGTCTTGCTAATAACGCGAAGGTCGTGGGTTCGATCCCCCCATGGGCCAAGGTAATTTATGATTTTGTGTTAATTATGTCTAATTAGGCCATACTATTTTAAAGTGACTTCATTGACTATTTCATAAAGCTCAATAGAGATTCATGCAAAATAAAAAAAAATATCTCTAATTGTAATGTGAATATTGCCGCAATACGTTGCACGGAATTTGAATTAATTACATCTAGGCCCATTAGCTCAGTTGATTAGAGCGTCGTGCTAATAACGCGAAGGTCGTGGGTTCGATCCCCCCATGGGCCAATGTCATAAATAATTTTTGGATAATGACATCTAATTATGCCAAACTATTTTAAAGTGTCTTCAAGTAAAGTTTCGCTCTGCTCAATATAGTTTCATGCAAAATAGAAAAAAAAGAATATCTCTGCTTGTAATGCGTATATTAACGCAATATGTTGTACGGAATTTGAAGCGGCCACATCGAGGCCCATTAGCTCAGTTGGTTAGAGCGTCGTGCTAATAACGCGAAGGTCGTGGGTTCATCCCCATGGGCCAGGTCTGTTTATAATTTTGGAATGACATATAATTTATGCCAAACTATTTGGAAGTGGCTTCATAGAAGTTTCACGTCGCTCAATAGAGATTCATATAAAATGGAAAAGATATCTCTTTGACGTGTATTTCCGTGCAAACGTTTCACGGAAATGAAGACCATCAGGCCCATTAGCTCAGTTGGTTAGAGCGTCTTGCTAATAACACGAAGGTCTGGGTCGATCTCCATGGCCAAGTAATTTATGATTTTGGTTAATGACGCTAATTAGGCCATACTATTTTAAAGTGACTTACTGACTATTTCATAACGCCTACTAGAGTTATGCAACAGAAAAAAAGAATATCTCTCTTGTAATGCGTATATAACGCAATATGTTGTTACGGATTGAAGCGGCCACATCGAGGCCCTTAGCTCAGTTGGTTAGAGCGTCGTGCTAATAACGCGAGTCGGTCTGATCCCCATGGCCAAGGTCATAAATAATTTTGGATAATGACATCTAATTATGCCAAACTATTTTAAAGTGGCTTCAAGGAAAGTTTCGTTCTGCCTAATAGAGTTTGCAAAATAGAAAAAAAGAATATCTCTGCTTGTAATGCGTATATTAACGCAATATGTTGTACGGAATTTGAAGGCCACATCGAGGCCCATTAGCTCAGTTGGTTAGAGCGTCGCTAATAACGCGAAGGTCGTGGGTCTGATCCCCCATGGCCAGGTCATTTAATTTTTTATAATGGCATCTAATTGCAAACTATTTGTAAGTGGTTCATCGACAGTTTCACGTCGCTCATATAGATTCAAATAAAAAATAGAAAAGATCTCTTTGTACGTAATTCTCCGTAAAGTTTCACGATTTAACGCTCATCGAGGCCCATTAGCCTAGTGGTTAGAGCGTCTGCTAATAACCGAAGGTCGTGATCCCCATGGGCCAGGTCATTTTATAATTTTGGAATAATGCATCTAATTATGCCAAACTATTTGGAGTGGCTTCACGACAGTTTCACGCCGTCAATATAGATTCAATAAAATAAGAAAAGATGATATTCTTTGTACGTGTATTTTACCAAAAGTTTTACAGGATTTAATACCACATCGAGGCCATATTCAGTGGTTAGAGCGTCGTGCTAATAACGCGAAGGTCGTGGGTTGATCCCCATGGGCCAAGATAATTTAGATTTTGGGTTAATGATCTAATTATGCCAAACTATTTAAGTGGCTTCATAGAATGTTTCGTCGCTCAATAGAGATTCATGCAAAATGAGAAAAAAGAATATCTCTGCTTGTAATGCGTATATTAACGCAATATGTTGTACGGAATTTGAAGCGCCTCATCGAGGCCCATTAGCTCAGTGGTTAGAGCGTCGTGTAATAACGCGAAGTCGTGGGTTCGATCCCCCATGGCCATAATATAATTTTTGGATAATGACATCTAATTATGCCAAACCATTTTAAGTGGCTTCAAGAAAGTTTCCTGCCCAATAGAGTTTCAGAAAAAAAGAATATCTCTGCTTGTAATAGCGATATTAACGCAATATGTTGTACGGAAATTGAAGCCAGCCATCGAGGCCCATTAGCAGTTGGTTAGAGCGTCGGCTAATAACGCGAAGGTCGTTCGACTCGGCCAAGGTCATAAATAATTTGGATAATGACATCTAATTATGCCAAACTATTTTAAAGTGGCTTCAAGGAAAGTTTGTTCTGCTCAATAGAGTTATGCAAAATAGAAAAAAAGAATATCTCTGCTTGTAATGCGATATTAACGCAATATGTTGTACGAATTTGAAGCGGCCACCGAGGCCATTTGTCAGTTGGTTGAGACGTCGTGCTAATAACGCGAAGGTCGTGGGTCTGATCCCCCATGGGCCAGGTCATTATAATTTTAGGATAATGTAATATCACTAAGCAATACGTAACTGAACCAAGTAATGA